GGCTAGTGAATAAGGAAGCTTTGAAGAAGAGTACTATACTGACACTAATGTCTTGTGCGATATGAATTATCCAATAGTTTACCGTATACAGTATATAGGAATTGTACCCTGCTTGATATTTATGCCTCTAAATTTTGTAGCCTATATAACCAGTTCTGAATTGAAGTATCTACTAGGAGATAAAGGATTTTGGAAGCTTGCTTAACATGACCTGTATGGTTCTTAAGAGTCATGTCCCACTTGGCTACAAGAGCCCTAGATTTGATAACCAGTACCAACCAGCAAACCAAAATTAAAACATTCACTAGGGAGTACATATCCATGTTGAGCCCCTTTGCCACATTAGTTGTGTGAGTGAAAAGATGTAATGTGATAAGCAATCTTAGGAAATAGTTAGCAGTACTTACTACTTTCTTAAATTGGACCAGTAGGTTAGGTGATTTAAACTAGTGGTAGGACTTCTATCCTTTAAATAGATCCTTCTCAAAAAATATAAATCCATTTTATAAATGTTATTAGTATTACTGGAGCAATAAGTAGATAAGCTAGCATTTAGCTATTGTAATAACAATAGATGATGTTTGATATAAACTAAAATTGATTATATTCAATAATAATTCTATATTTAATACTATTTTATTATAAAAAAAAAAAAAGATTTTTTACAATTTAGATTATTCAATTCAAATATCTTTTGAATTATATCTTTTGAATTATATTTCTATTAAAATAAAGAATAAATAATTATGTTTTTTCCAAAAAAATATAATTAATTTGTAAAATTTTTATATACTAAATAGTTTTGAAATCCATCCTTATCTATAATAGTTTTTTTTTATTTTTTTGTTCTCTTGCACCCTCTTTACTCTTATAATATTATAAAAAATCATTTATATTATTACTATTATATTCATTAGTCTTATAATATTTTTTAAAAAATATACTTAAACAAAATTATTGGATTTATTGTTTGTTTTAATACAACCTTCTTATAATCTTTTTTTTTTTTTTAAGTAGGTAAACATCAATTCTTTATTTTATTTCATATGTATCATGATATATCTTTTGAAAAGAATCAATATTTCTTAGATGCAAAAGCATACAGTAAGTTGTATACTAGCTTGCTTACTCTTATGATGTTTAATTAGTATAGAAAAGAAATTTAAACTATACTAATTGCTAAACAAAAGGAGTAGTGACTATGCCTATCTACTTAGAAAAAAAGTTTTTACATTTTTGAAATTTGAAAAGAAAAAAATAAAGCTAACTAAAACTGAAACTAAGTCAAGTAAATTATACAATCTATGAAAATAAAAGTTGAATCCTTAAAAGAACACTTTGCCAGGCTTGTTGTTCCAAATTACTGGTTCTTTGTGACTTGTTGATATTCCTTTTCTTGATACAGATAGTAAAACATACTTAAAGTTGTTTACTGTAATAGTTATTGTTATTATGGTAAGGATCAGATGGGTAAACCAGTTTGGGCCGGTTATTGTTGTTGTTATTGTTGTTGTTATTGGATTGGTGGATCAGTTTAAACCGATTTTATTGTTGTGGTTTGGATAATATAATGAATTTTGATTGGATGATTGCCAGACATCGATCAATTGGAGGGGATAAGCTAATTTTGGTTTTTGATGCCAAAAAAGATTATGGATTTTTTTGAGTGGCACAGTAAGTAACACCAGAATAGAGAAGTATGTGAAGATTGTATTGAAACAAATATTAAAATCTACAACTTTGTTTGAATATGTTTTTTGGAGGATGTTTATGAGCATAATAATTATGATGGTATATATGAGGATGGTTTTTATGATAAAAAAGGGGTTTGGGTTGCAAGAGAACCAAAGAATCAAAGTGTACTGCCACAGGCCTTTCCCTATACAACTGAAGGATAAACAAGACTTTCAAACTTGAGTAGACTTTAACAAGAGATCCCATCCCATTGTACTAGTTGTCTTTAGTGTTTTTAGATTCCTGAGCTGAAGCTCACTTGTGATAAAGAGTGTAAAATATTTTTCTTTGATCAAAATTACCATATATAGAAATTTTGAGCAAAACGGATGTGATCAGGAAAGAGTTTTTTAACTTTTTTATAATCTTATCATAGTAATATTTATTATATTATTAAGAAATTTCATAATTTTTACTTGTTCAAAAAATTAAAATCAGTTTATTTCTTTTAAATAATCATTATTCTTCAATTATTCAATTAGATTTTATCATTTCATCAAAACAAAGTTCAAACCAGTTCAAACCAGTTTTTCAATATAATAATAACAATAACTATTATTAAAACAATAACAATTAGAGCTCTTAACAATACTACTTTGATATCTGTTCAATATCAATTTGATACTTAAATTTACTATAAATTTATATGAGTGGGTTACAATTTATATATTAAATTTACTATAGATCAATACTATTTCGATATCACTTCAGTACCAGTTCAGTACTTTTCAGAGTCCTAATAACAATATTATTCATATTAATAAAAGTTATATTAACAAGTAACAAGAAACTGAAAAAACAGAATAATAAGCTGATATAATAGTTCTCTTGAAATTATATCTTTTATTTTATAAATTTTATAATTTGTTTGATTTAATTTTAGTTTTAATAATTTTTATTTTATTTTTTACTTTTTATTTTATTTTTATATTTTTAAATAATTTTAAGTAGGTAGATATAGTCACTACTTAGTTATATCTTGTATTTTAATATTGTTTTAAAATTTATTTTTAATATTAGTTAGATATAGATTGTATAAACAAACTAATATTTAATTTATTGTATACTTTTGTATTTAAGAGATATTGTTTCTTTTTTTTTTTTGTTTTTTTTGAGCTAAGTGTAATACATGCATGGCTTTTATTAATCAATTACAGATTACATAGTCATTATATGAACAGTCTATTTAACTGATGCTACCTGTCCATTTCTGCCTAAGTATCAACTTTACATCTTGTAAATAGGTCCATACTTGGAGTTAAGAGATATTGTTTCTTTTATAATATATACTATATTATATATACAAATTAAATATTTATCTATTAGAAAAAAAAATACTATGACCTATGGGTCTATAGTACAATGGTAGTGCTCTATAGATTACCAGGAGCAGGTCTTGAGTAGTGATCTTAGTTGGCAAAAAAATTTCCAATCAATTAATTTTTTTAAATATAATCAACTAGTTGTAATTAAAAATTCTGAATTCTGATTGGTTAATTTTGAACTTTCCAACTAATGATTTGTAACACTAGTCTAGGGTTCAAATCTGCTTGATTATAAAAATTTACCACATAAATCAATTAGGCTGCATAAAGATGGGACTTTTGGCTTCTCTAGTGATCATAGAGTTGCAATAGATCATAAAAAAGGAAAGGATTGCATAAAAAAAAGCTTCTGGTCTAATTTCAGTTAAACCCACAGCTACGCTACACAAACAATGACATATTTGATATTATAGACCAGGCTATATATCATCACAACCAATCCCACTAAACTCATATTCCAATGATGGTTGAAATTAAAGATAGGTTCCTAAATTATTTATAAGGACATAATTCAAATATTCCTTATTATTAAAAAATTTTTATTTCTATATTAAGAAATAAAAAAAAACTACTTACAAAGGTTCTTTATAGTTTTAAGCATCTATACAAATTATTCTGGAATTATGTTTTTATTGAAATAAAGAGCCAGGAATTATGTCCTCTAGAGGACGTGGATGTAAAGGGACATAAATTTTATATACTAAATATTTTAGGGACCCATCTTTAGTTGAAACTCTAGCTTGAGCTATCCCAATCTGGTGTAGAACTTAAATGGTGATACTAGCCACAGGTGGTGACAAGGATCATGACTTGTGTAAGTCCAGAATTGACACAAGTTGTGGTCTGAGGGCCAAGCGATAAAGTGACAGAGGCACCTGGACCAACTCCCCTAATTAAGACTCCTTGAAGCAAAAATGAATCAAATAGGTTAGATAGTTTAAAAACTAATGGTAGGATTTCTACACCCTATAGGTTCCAGCCTAGTATCTCGAATAATTAATCATTACAGATGATTTAGAAATCAGGGTATTAGAAGTAAGGTGATGTGTAAAGGATAATCTGCATAAAGTATATAATGTACTGATTTGTACAAGTTCTCAGCTATAATGATATAATATATTATTATTATTAAAAATCAATGCAGCAATTACACTTAGCACCTTAAAAAAAAAAAAAAAAAAAAAAAAATATATTATATATTTTATATAAAAATATTTAAAAAAAAATAAATTTATAATTTTGTATATTACAAAATATTTAGTAAAACTGATTTAAATATTGAAACCAATATATTATTTTAAATTTTTAATTAATAAAAATATTACTGATACAAAAATATTATCAGGTTTAAAAAAAAAACAATATAACAGAAATTTGAACTAATTGGATTAAAAAATAGTAAAGATTAAAATACAAATACAAATATTGTAGCTAAACACAAAAAACTAATAAACTTAATTTAATGGAAGCATATTTAACAATTAGTTGTTATAAAGTATTCAAGAAAATAAAAAATATTTATATAAATTTATAAGTAACATATATAATTTCAATATCAATAAACAATAGTCAAAAAAGCAAAAACTTTATATCAGTAATAAAAAAAAAAACAATAAATTAATGAATAAATAAAACTTATTTTTTTTTAATAAATTTGATTTTTTTTTTAAAAAATAGTTTTATAATTTTTTATAATTCTATTTATTTTAAATTTATAAATTTAAAATTTGTTTTTATTGCATTCATAAATTTTATCTTGACTAACAACTTCCAAAGTACTTCGACTCAGATAAACTTAATTAATCAATCTAGGTCAGAAAGCTTTACAATTTTATTATCAATGAGCTCTAATACCATGAAAATAAATATGAAAATAATAGCACTTAAAATAAAAGTTACTGAATATGACCTCAAATAATTACAAATAAAGTAATCCAAACATCAAGTAGAAACAGAATTCACAAATTCATCCCACCAACTTCTTATCATCTTACTTCTCTCAAAAATTGACCAAGTTCCCTCTACCCCATCATAAAGCATCGTTAATACAATTTCTGAATTTTGTATAAATTGTTGCAACTCTTGTATAGTGAACCCATTGATACCTCGATGTTGGTATGAACGTATAAAGTATAACAAATTGGAAATGGTGATCTCTTGAATTTTACGAGACTTTTGAAAAATGTCGGAAAAAACTGTCATCCAATAACGATCTATAAATTTTATCATTGTATATAGGGACCACGGTTGAGGTTCGTTTATAATGTAAGTCCAGTCTTGTCCAAAATTGGTTTGAAAATGGAATAACATTGCTGGTGGAAGAAAAGTATGGAGATCGAACATTATCTTGTCAATAAGTTGTTTGTGACATGACCCTATATTTTTTGACAATACCCCTGTGGGAATCGCTGGAATCTTCGAAATCATCATCGAAACTATATCAGCCTCCTGGAATTTATTGATATTACCGATTGCGGAGATTTCGGAAGATCCAAAATTTTTTGGAGCATGGATGGATGCATAAAGAGAAGACGATGGTGGAATACCACGTTTTGAATTATCCGCAGTCAGCGAATTAGGTGTTCCTGCTGAATATTGACCATTTGTTTTATCCCTTTGCACATTACTCTTGCGATTTGATGATGCATGGATGGAGTCATATAGAGACGATGAAACCGAATCAAAAAGATCATTATGATAATTCGAACTAGAATATAATTGTTCAGAATTTTGCAATCGGAATTGTGGTCCGAGAGTAACTTCCGAAGGCACTGAATCGTTGAGTGTGGAAGATATTTGTATCAATACGCAATGTTCAGAATTTTGCGTAGTAGACGATATGTTTTGTAGTGTATCATCACAATCCATCATGATTATATCTGTACCCTATGAACCGGAAATATCATATAAGAATCTATAATGGACAAAGAAAGGGGAAAGCATTGAATACCTCTATAAAGTTTTCTGGTTCTTTTTTGTAAACTAAATTTGGATTGCTGTGATGCTCTAGCCGATTAGTGGAAATGTGTTCATGGAATCCGGGTAATGTTGTCACGATATCGTCTCGTTTAGTTATTATTTTATTACTGTACGGCGTCAAAGAAAAAATTTTCCTAATGATTCCATCGGAACCTCCCTCATTTTTATATGATGCTGTACTTAATTCTGTTGATTAAGAATCCAAATATAAGACAAGCTCAGTATATTTGTTTTAGAAAATAAATTATGCTAACCATGAACCATAGCTTTGACACACAGGTTTTTGTCATTCGACAAAAGAATTATTGGATTTAAAGTTTTCGCTCGAAAATATCTTCGATTGGAAAAATCAAATACAAAAGCATTCGTCAATTATTCTATAATTAATACGGATAACTTGCTATATTTACAAAAACAACCTACCTACAACAATCTAATATTTTATCATCATTATGCTTAAGGACCATTGTAATTCATTTTCAAGACAAATAATAGCATAAATGTATTGCAAAATTGTTTTATTGAAGAATGAAAAGATATTATCAACAAGATAAAGAACCTTACTTCATGTTTTTCCATCTTTTCGTCAAGTTTTTGTCCTCTTATACCATCCACTTTGTCGACCAGGCAATTATGCAAAAAGTAAATAGCATTTTGCGCCAATTTCTGCAGGTCAGGTTGAACACCGTTAGAAAAATCATAGGATTTACTTGGCCTACTTTTCAACCCATCTAGCTCTTGCAAAACAATCCACGGTATGATGATAAGCAATCTATTTTTTTTTGCGTACTCCTGAATGAGAGTTTTTAGAAACGCTAGATGCGAAATAAGAAAATTAGTGTCCACAACGACATATGGCATAGATGGAGATTCCCTAGAGATCAACGAAGCTTCTGGTGATAATGCCTGGCTGATATGAGTTAATTCGCGTCACGTACTAAAAGTCGCGGAAGTAATGAAATAAATATGTATATAGTACACACCGCAGACGAGCTTTCGTAATTTACTTCAAGTGATTTATCCTTTCGAAACTCCTCTATTTGTAAAGTGATGTCCTGTAAGGTCCACTCATCATCAATGTCCATAAAGACGCACACTTCCTCGTCGGCCATTTTATAAAAGTTTAATAAGTACGTGAACACCTATGAAGTAATTAGAGAACGTTGGATGTTTTCCACGCGTTATATCCCCATCGCGAGCCACCAATCAAATTTAAGCTATTGTTAAACAATTATACATACGATAAACACGACTAGCCGTTTCGGATTTCTAGTGACACAAATTATGTAGTTTTAATATTATAAAAATATGTCATTATACTGTACAGTCTACTCTCATTAATACAACAACTCATTATTATGACATATGACCAAGAACATATGATTAAAAACTCCTGCATTGATATACATTATTCTAATTATATCGTGATTAACAAATTTAGAAAAGTTTCGTTTGCGTTACTTACCTTCGTTAGAATTGTATTTTATATTCTTTTTCTTTTTTTCGAAAGTGCAAAATGTAATAATTATTTTTTTTTTTAATTTAAATTAACTCGTTTATTTTTTTGATAAATTAATTCTTTTATCATGTCTGAAACAGATTATTTTATTAAAGAATTTGGCGCTATATCTCCATTTTCCCCTTCACTTTCACCTCAATCTTTATCTCAATCTCAAATCCTACCTTTATCTCAATCTTTATCTTCGTCTCAATCATTATCACCTCCATTTCAATTCTTACCTAATAAAAAACGGATTCGAAAAGAAACTTCATTTATTGAAAAAAAAACAATTTGTGAATTTGTCGAAACTGTTAAAAATGATCCAAAATGGACTCATCAAGCTATTGCAGATAAATTTCAAAAAACTCGAACTTTTATTACTATGTTGCTTAAACAAAAAGATAAATGGTTGAATTATAACCCAACTTAACCAAATAAGCGAATTCGTGAACGTGCACCAAAATTTTCTCAAATTGAAAAAGGACTATGGATGTGGTGTCTCGAAGCTATGCATGCCGGAATTTTTTCTTAATGATAATATTTTGTTAAAAAAAGCAGGTCTTATTGCTACACAATTAAATATAAATGAAGAAGATTTCAAGAAATCAAATGGATGGTTATCTCAGTTTAAAGCACGTCATGGTATACGTCAAATTAAATTACATGGTGAAGCAAATAGTGTGCCGCTCAATTCTCTTTTAGAAATTCGTATTACTTTTTAAGAACTTCTTTCGACATATCCATCTGAAAATATTTTTAATGCTGATGAGACTGGATTATTTTGGAAAATGTTACCAAACAAAACTCTTGCTATTACATCACGCACTGGTAAAAAAATAATGAAAAAACGAATTATAGTTATGCTTTGTTGCAACTCATTGGGCACAGAAAAAATTCGTCCTTTTGTTATTGGTCATGCTAAAACATCAAGATCATTTCGTGGAATTAATATCGCTAATTTATCAATCGATTATACTTATAACAAAAAAGCTTGGATGACAGGTATATTATTTGAATCATGGATTAAAAAATTAGATACTCAAATGCGCATTCAAAATCGAAATATTTTACTTATTATTGATAATGCACCTGGATATATTGAAAATGGTCTTATGCTTACAAATATTACTATTAGATTTCTTTCGCCTAATACTACTAGTCATCTACAACCACTTGATGCTGGTATAATTAGATCATTTAAAGTTAAATATCATAATCTTTATGTTCGTTGGCTTCTTCAACAATATGAAAATGGAATTATAAATCCACTTTCAAGTTTATTGGATACTGTTAACAATATTACTATTGCTTGGGATATGGTTATTACTACAACAATTATAAATTGTTGGAAAAAAACACAGATTATAAATAATAATTTAACTTCTACGGATATTAGTATAGAAAAAAATGATCAATTATCATTAAATTTAGCTTTAAATATGCTTAAACCTTTAATAAATTATGAAATTATTGAACTTCAAGACTATATTAATATTCCTACTGAAAATACGGCAATTAATCATATGCTTAGTATTGAAGAAATTGTCGATATTGTTAGTCAATCTGAAAAAAATAATATTGAAAACAGTGATGAAGAATTAGTACCTTCAAAAATATCAATTTCAAAAGCACTTTTATCTATTAATAATATATCTCTCTTTCTTCAACAAAAAGATTCTTCATTATCTACACAAAATCAACTTTCTGTTCTTCGTCAACTTACTCATGAACTTAATGAAATGTATATTATTAAAAAAGATTAACATTTATATGTATTTTTTTATATATTTGTGTAATGAATTATATAAATAAACTATTTGATATTATAACATATTCAATATTATGACTAACGGTTTGCCAAACAGTGTCATATTAATGAGGGTAAACTGTATATGAAATTATTTTTTTCAATAAATAGATTATTCGAAAAATAATTAATATTACTTAAAGAACAGTATAGAAAGACTTTTTGGCATAATTAAGAAAAATAAAAAAAATTGCTTTTTGTTAATCATTATTTCAAAATAAATCTGTAGTTCTAAGAAATAAAAAATTTTTATTTTTGATAAAATAATAATAATAATAGTTTTTTTAATAAATAAAAATTAATAAAATTAATATATTCTTTTTTAAAGTAAAATAAAATATTATTTTATTTATCTATTTATATATTGCAAAATATTGTAATCAATAATTTTTTAATTAATATATAATATAAATTAATAATTTTTAAAAGAATTTAAATATTATATAGAAATACTTGTTCTTTAATAATAATTTAATTAAATTAAATTAAAAATCAGTAAAAACATTTTTTGTTTATTACTAATATTTTTATAAAAACAAAGTTTATTTTTAAAATTATTATAACTATTAATTAATTAATAAAATATCAGATTTATTAATTGAAAAAATTTTTAATAATTTTAAATTTATTTTAAAAAATAGAATTAAAAAGTCTTTAATAAATTATTGTATATAAAGAATAATTATTTATAAATATAATAATATTTAATTTTTTTATAAAAATATTTGTTTATAAAACTTTTTCTACTGATTTTTTTGTCAATTCAAAAAACAAATATTTTTAAAAGATTTTATATTTTTATAATAATAAAGTCTATATATTTTTTTTAACAACATTGATTTTTTAATCAATAAAATAAGTAGCAGCTATTATTTGTTTATTTTTTTCTTTTTAAAATACTTTTCTTGTTTATTTCTATAATTAAATATAAAAAAAAATCTATTTAAAAGATTTATAACAAAAACATTTTTCTAGAAAGAAAACTAATAAGAAAAAATATATTTCAAAGACTTTCAAAAGGTTTAAAAATTCAGAGAAATAAGGAAAAAGAAGTTTTCAGTTTTTTTATCTCTTTAATTTTTTACTTTTTTTTTTTTTGTTTTTTTTTATTTTTTTAAAAAATTTTATCTATTTCAATTTAATTTTAAATTTTTAATTATATTGGATTTTTTAAAAATAAGTAATTAAAATTATAAATTGATTAATCAAATTAATTATAAAAAAAATAAACAAGATACACTACATGGACAAAATTATTG